AAATGTATGTGTATATATACACATATTTGTTCTGAATTTCAACCGAGTATCCAAAATTTTCATTATCTCATACCACCAGCATTGGAAACTCTAGTTTTTGCTTCCAGAACTGATTTATTAATCATAAGTTTAATTCTTAGAACAAGATCTTTGTGGTAAGAGTTGCCAGTTTCTTGCCAAACACCTATTCACCCATTTCTCTTTAGAACCCAAACTTTAAATTTTATGCTGGTTATATTGCTTCCTTTATAAAAAGCACATTGTCTTCCAGACCTTTTTTGCAACTAAGCTTGGCCATGGGACTGGGTTCTGTCCTTTAAAGAGAAATATTTGGGGAGTTCTCTGAAAATTGCTTAAAAGGGATTGACTGAGCTGGAAGTTCAATATAGCCTTTCATTTTCTTCTTAGCTTGTAGTCTGAAAATCAGTGGTAGTAGCTGGAGCACCAACAACCATTTTGGGTTCTGGGATGATACGGAAGATACTAACTTGGATCCTTGAGAAAACTGTGGGCCCACCATTCCTATCTGTAATTCCTACCTTCAGACTTTTCTGTGCATGAGGTAGATAAAGTTCTATCTTTCTTACCATTCTTATTTTTGTTTTTGCTATCACTGTTAAGGAAGAATCCCAGTTGAGCCCAAACTTGTGCTCGAGAGTCTGGTTATGTCTGATGAAACCATATATCCACCAACCCTCAATGCTAGCTATTAGTATGTGTTGTTAAAGACAGATGGACATCTATTCCTCTTAACAAGGAATAACTTGTTAAACCCAAATATGACGAGGTAGTAATGCTCTTATTTCTCTCTAGCCTGTGCATTTGTGTCCATTCCAAACGAATCTCTAGAGGATTCGTTTTTTTGTGATGTGTCATTTTCTATTTTTATGTTAGGAGAGGCATTGAAAATCTGCCTTGTAGGAAATGTAACATCTTGCTTAGAATTGTGAATACAGTGGATTCTCCTTTGCACAGGAACAGGGACAGCCTTATATTTCCTATTTGAGACCCTAAATAGTCTATTCATTCATTCAACAAGTATTTTGTTTTTGAGTAGCTATTATGAGTCAAATAAATTATGAGAAGGCTTTGTTATTTAGTCAATTCATGTCTATTATCACATGGGACACCTGTGAATTTTGCAAAGTTAGAAAAAAAGAAAAGAAAAAGATTGAACTGAATGAAAAAAGTCCAAAAATTTGTCCCAAAGAGTTGTCTTCTTTTTAATTTTTTTCCCCTGTGTTCAAAGACAAGACTGTAATCTACATTTCCCTGGATGGCACCAGCCAGTGAGTACAGATATTAATGTTAAATATTAATGATCCAATTACAAGGGTTCATAGTTGTCATTACAAAATTTCTCAGCACTCCTGTCACAAAGTCTCCCAGTCTTTTCTGAGAGTCCTAGGGGAAGGGTCTCCCATGTGCTAATGGTCAACCTCTTCATATTATTCACTTACTGGCTGCTATGGTGCTTGCAAGACTCTTAGGCAGGAGTCTCTCACCATTCTACCTTAGGTCAGGATGTTCCAGGAGAACACTACTCTCCTGTGAAGATGCCATGTTCAAGTTCTCTCAGGTTACAAATCACCACACTGCCAAAGAATGCTGCATTCGTGTTGAACTGCACAGTGTTGGAAATTGACTTGTTCTGTGTAGAAATGAGAAAAGTATTTCTCCAATCAGGTCTGACACCTTGAAATACTCACATTTATGCTCCAAAGTCTCCTGTGAACACATTGCGTGTGTGTGTGTGTATGTGCGTGTGTGTGTGTGTGTGTTCATATTTATAGACCTCCAGTATGCAGTCCTTTCTTATACTCAGTCTCTTGTGTTTCCACTGGAGGTTCCTGGGATATGAAGTTTTATCCCAACAGATCTTTATTCTCCCATACATCAACTTAAGCTAACATCTTGTAGAAATGGCTACTGCCTCATCACTTAATCAGACTTAGCTAAACCATGAATTCTAGTATGAGTTCAAATGGGAACTCCGCTATGTCACAACTTAACTTAGACTTTAGATGATTTTGATAAAGTTGAGAATGAGGCTGTAATTTCTTGAAATTGTGTGAGTGTTATATATGTGTTACATATATACATAACATATTAGCATATCCCATAAAGCTTATAATTTGTATCAATATAATATGCTTGAAATGTAGGCAGTGCCATTTTCTCATTAAGTCATCTCTCTCAGTTGCAAAACTAATAAAGGAGAATGCCACATGCTGTTACATGTATTTTACTTACTCTACATTTACCCAGATGTGAATATGAGTAATGTACTTACAGTGTTCCCTTAAGCCACTATTTTCCTACACGCTGAAAACCTTCTATACAGAGTTTATACATTTTTAAAATTTATTTAAAAGGTGACCTAATAAATTTTTCCCTTTTGCAGTCTTCCCTTAGTAAAGATAGCTACTGTTAGGGGCGCCTGGGTGGCTCAGTGGGTTAAGCCGCTGCCTTCGGCTCAGGTCATGATCTCGGAGTCCTGGGATCGAGCCCCGCGTCGGGCTCTCTGCTCAGCGGGGAGCCTGCTTCCTCCTCTCTCTCTGCCTGCCTCTCTGCCTGCTTGTGATCTCTCTGTCGAATAAATAAATAAAATCTTAAAAAAAAAAAAACCATTTCAAGATAGCTACTGTTACCATGAGTAAAGGAGATAGGAATGGGTGGAGGAGATATGGAGAGGTTAGCACTATTGTAGATAAACACAATGTGAAAACAAGGAACTACTCTTAAACTATTGACATGGAAATAAAGCCAAGAAACAAAATTACTTCCTGAACCACATTCTATCACCTGACTACTTGCAAAGAGCTCGTTTTGCCTGTTTTAACCAAATGAAAATCGTATCCATCTGAATGTAGATTTGTAGAGTAAATTATAACAACTCAGGATTCTTGACTGTAGTAATCACAGTACTAAAACGTTGATTTAGCTAGAAAGTGGTTAGAACCATTGAGAAATATTTTATCAGGTTAACAGGTTAGAGAAAGAATAGAAATAGATATATAGAATAGAAATATATATATATTTTTAAAGACACAAAATAGCACAACATCTGAGAAGCCTAAGGTGTAAAGTGCATTCAGCACTACCAACTGTAGTGGAAAGAAAATTCCAAAGCATGACAGTCCAGAGCAATTGTTAGTAGCACCTGTGGTAGGATCGAAATTAAGCAGAAAGAAATAGAAGACATTTGTTTAACTTTTGATCATGTTGAAAGACGGGTCCCAGCACAGTAGATTTTTCCTTTTAAGATTAGCCAGATGTGGTTCTTGATAAGGGTATAGTGATGGAACCACAGAAGAGAGATCACAAATGTAAGAAGAGAATGGCAGATACCATAAGGTTGTTTTTAAGACGGAGAGAAATCTATATAAAGCTGACTCAAACAACAAAAAAAAAAATTTCCTCTTCAGTCATTTATGCAGAAACTTGCACTAAATTAAAAGGTGTGATGTATATATTAGCAATTTTCATAACCTGGTTCTTTTACTGCCCTGGCCTGTTTAGTAGAGACTGGTCAGCGCTGTCAACTGTATGCTTTTTCATCAGCCTAATGTTTGATCTGCACTCTCTAAAACTAACAGGAAAAGAGAGACAGAAATTTAGGAAGTTTTGGTTGGCAGTCAGGTGTTAGCCCTCATTTGCTCTATGCGAGATTTATATTTCACCTCGGAAACTAGCTGGGTGATTGTTGCTCTTTTTTTGACAGCCGGCAAGAAGCTGTGCCTTAGACCTGTTTGGCTGCTGTCCTGGGTAGAAGAGTTTGGCAGCCCTAGGGAGATGAAATTCTTCAGCTTCGGACCCGCCCAGAGTACACCCTCTCAGCCACTACTCTGTTGCTATGAAACAAAAGACTAGGAAGGTGAGCGAAGCAGGAAGTCCCGCCTTTGAGCCCCAGTTGGCTTTGGCTCGGGCTCCCAATGCTCACGCCCACCCGCCCACTCCTTATTGGTCAGTTCCTTAGTGCCTGGCATCCTTTCTTCCATCTCCTTTCCCTTTCCCACTTTCGTTCTTCGGTGAGTCCAGTGCCCCCATTTCCCTCCGAGTCTCTTTCTATTTGGGACGTGCCGCGAGCGGGCCTTCCTTTGGTGCCATTGTGTACTGTGGGAGACGTGGACTTGGGGGGGTAGTGCGAGAAGGACGGCCGCCTCCCGCCCATTGGCGCCGCCCGCTGTCGGGCAGGGCAAGGCGCGCGTGGGATTGGCCTAGAGGCGCGCGGCCCCGCCCCTCGGCTCCGCCCCGCTCCTGGGTCTCTATGTGTGTGTATCCTACGGGGTGGGGTGTCCAGCGAGTGGTCTCCACCTCCAGCTAGTGCTGCTGCGGCGTCCCGCGGCCTCCCCGAGAATCGGGCGGGAGGGGAGAGCGGGCGTGGATTGGTCTTGACGGTAATTGTTGCGTTTCCCCGTCTCGGTGGCCTGCGCTCGGGCTTGCTCCTTCCTCGGGAACGTGCTTTTACGGCGATCACACACTCCTACCCTGGCTACCCACGCACCCTGGGCTCGTGCGTGTAAAGTAGGACCCGCGCACACGCGTGTCTCTGGATAGCTACGGCGGGGAAAGGCCGGGAGGGAAGGGGGCGGCGGGGAGGCTTGCCGCTTCTTTCCGGCCAGGGGACCCTGGGGCAGCCAGCCGCGGGACACGGAGGTACAGGGGACAGCCCTGGCTTCCAGCTGCTGTCGCCGCGGCCGGCACAGTTTGAAGAGGGGTATTTAAAGACCGGAACCCGGGCTGGGCCGGGAGAGGAGGGAGAGGGAGTGAAGGGAGCCGGGCGGCTGGGATTGCAGACATCCCGGGTGTGTGTGTGGTGGGGGGGTGGGGTGCGTCTGCCGGGGAGCCGAATGCGGGGCGCCCAAGACCGACGGGTCTGCGGGCGCTGGAGGTGCGAGGGGGTACTCTGGCCTTTCTGCGTCCACCTTCCTCCCCGAGCTGAGGTCCAAGAGTGGCAGGGGAGGGGCCTGAACGAGGAGGGGACACAGACGTCCCGAAACAAAGCTTTGGACCCCCACTCCCTTTGCGTGAGACGAGAGGAAAGGAGCAAAATAAGTGAACACTCTTCTCCTTTCTGTGTCCGCGCTTGTCAGGTTCTCACCCCTCTTTTTTTAGTGGGTTGTTTGTTGGTTTATTTGGCTCTTAACTTGGGGCTAACTCCTTGGTTTAAGAACTGTGTATTCGTGTGTCCATGTTCCCCTATCCGTACTTGTTGGTTTTAGCGGGGAAAATCCAAGTTCTAAGCCTTTGTTGACAACAGCTATGTCCCTTGCGCTCTTGTAGAATAATCTTCACATTTATATAACTCGGCGAAATCTAAGAGAGTGAAAGTGAGGTTTTCAAGTGAGGCTCTCAAAATGTTTTCTGGGAGCTTTAGTTCTAGTATACATTGAATTGAGATTAAGGCAGGCATGGGGAGAACATTGTGTTCTTATCTAGTTGGAGGAAACCTTTGTAAGTTGTTTCGTTTTGGATGGTTTTTTTGTTGTTGTTTTGGTTTTTTTGGTTATGAGTTGGGTATTAATCAAGACTTTGCCAGGTGAAATTCGAGAAGGATACATCTTTAACTCTTAGTGCTCCAAAAGCAAATCTAAGGTTACTGTTTGTTGTGCGTACAAATTGAGAGTGCAGATTCATAGCTATTGAGAAGTTGAACCTGGGACACTGGATTTTGTTCTCACTGGTGGAGGATGTAGTGGGTACAAATTAACCTGTTCAGTTTTCTGCTGGGTAAACATTTTCATGACCAACTAACTTCTTTTTTTCTTTTCCTTAATCTGCCTTTCAAAGAACTAAGGTTCCAGATGGCAAATTCTATGAATGGCAGAAACCCTGGTGGTCGAGGAGGAAACCCCCGAAAAGGACGGATTTTGGGTATTATTGATGCTATTCAAGATGCAGTTGGACCTCCTAAGCAAGCAGCAGCAGATCGCAGGACTGTTGAGAAAACTTGGAAACTCATGGACAAAGTGGTAAGTTCTGTATGCTTGTGCCTGTTATTTGCCCTGGATATGGTTTCTTCTTCTATTGTTTTATTTGTACCATTAATTAATATTATTGTTACCATTAATTAATAATTATTGTTATGGCAACAGTCTTTTGATTTGGATTGACCATTTTTCCTGCATCTGTTCTGTGTGTTTTAAAAAGTTGGATTCAGAGCAAAGACTTGTTTGTGTTTTCTTTTTACCTTTTGTCCTACTCTTCAAGGTTCAAAGTTCCTCTATATGACTCAGATATGCAAAGTTTTTACTGTTGGCTGCTCTTTGTTAGTACATGGCCATAGAATAGTTTGGAAGTATTTGCTCTGTCTTATGTGAAGTTGTATTACTGTTAAATAACAAACGAGTGCAAACAAGTGTTTTAAGAAAACCCTCTGAGGGACCACTCATGACAACCACAGTGCATGACGCTGAGAGTATTTACTAGAGGAAGAACCAGATTAGTCCTTAAGTGGGGAAGCAGCGTTTGAGAGAGTTTCCATTTCCATCTGTGAGAATTCATCTTCATTAAGAAACTTTTTGTTGTTGTTAATGTAGAGTTACAGTTTCTTTCATCTATTCCATTTTGAAACAGGAAACCTTTTCGATTGCACATTGTTTATTGTGAAAGGAAAATTTATGATGGAGGTGGGGGGGGGCTGAGAGTATCAGAAACCTCTGTGGTTTCTGCATGTTGCTTTCAGACGAATAATAATTTTACAAGAAGAAGTCAAGCTGGATATTAGTACCCTGAGAAGTCTAGGCAACCTGAATATTTTACTGGAGACTACTGAGAAACTAGCTGTCAGTGTCCTCTCTTACTAAGTAGGATTATGAAATAAATATGATTAAGAGGTGGCTTGCTGCTGTGCAGAATTAATAGTTCTTGGTTTTGAAGCAGTTAGTACCATCCCATGTATATTGGTAAATGTTTGTAGCACCATCTGGTTTCATTTCATAGATATTTGGGGCTAATTATGAATTTAGTTGATGCAGGGCTCTTGATATTTTGTGACTGTAGAAATGGAATTTTAAAAAAATATCCTCTGTAGGGATGTGCTAAAGCCTCCATGAAATCATATAGTAGCAGTTGCCTTTACTTTGGCTTTTAAGTGTGTATGAATATTTGCCACAAAAAGCCACTGTCAGTGTGGTATTAGTGGCACAGGAAGGTGATAAGATTTGCTTTATTTTCATTTATCCTTATGTATAGTACAGATGGATAGATGAATGATAGGCTTACCATTCTAGGTCCAGTGGTGCCAAATGCAGAGCCAGAAAATTTTGCCAGATAAATATCCGTAGTTTTGGGCTTCATTGTGACCTATTTAAGCTTCTTCCAATTTTTTCAAATTGTGATATTAAAATGCTCCAGACAGAATGATGTCATAGTGTCAGAACATTGCAACTTGCTGGTTGAGGTCAGGTTTGGATTTTAGCATTGGATACTTGAGAATGAGGAGTTTGCAGTGGGAAGAACTGCATATATTAAGCAGGCGCAAGTAACTGTCTTTGATTTTAAAGAGAATGCGATTTAAGGTCACTTTCATTACCTAAGTCATTAGTTGGGCATAAGAGAAGGAATTCTTGGTTTTTCCCTATACCTGTTATATGAGTGGGCAACACATGGGTCAGATTCTATCAAGGAGCTGCCCCTCCCTCCCCATTCCCTTCTGCAAGAGGTCAGAATTTGTACATTTATGGTTTATGTGTGAATGTTAGCACAGAAAATAAAAAATATTGGTATCAGGAAGAGGTGAGCTGTAGTTAATATAAGAGTCCTTGTTTTTCAAACATTAAAGAATATATTCATAATTTTGGTTTGTAACTGCTTGTTAACATAAGTTTTATCCACTTTTAATTATTTCACCATGGGTTATGGTGAAATAGATGGTTTTTGATAGTTAAGCCTCTGCCATTGTTTATTTTACTAACTCTTTGTGAGTTTGGATTTAGCCTCTCTAATTGAAAAACTGACTCATAAGGAAAACTATTAATGAAAGTCTCTACTAGTGGAATGTGGTAAGGGTGTTGGCAAAGGTGCATTGGAATGGCTTTTCTTATTTTGTCTTCATTATTTGTCAAGAATGAAAATAATTGTGTTCATTTATGAATGCATTCATGGGCTTTGTGGAGGGAAATCACATGAATCGCTATGAAAGACCTCAGCGTGTTCATCACTACTCTACCACACAGTAGTAAAAAGACATTGATAATTACTAACTGAAAATATATTTTATTAAATTGTGTAATACAGAAGTGTCCCTCACATGTGTTTACCCTTTTTTTCCCTTTGTCAGTGGTGAAGGAAGTGGTTCATCACCTCAACATTGTCCTGGTGATTACATCAGGATATTCATTATGAGTCCAAATGTTAATCTCTTGACATATCACCTGTTTTATAAACTAACAGCAATAGCCTGAGTTTAGCTTCTGAATAACAGAAAAGAGTATCTTTCAAGTCCTTCTGGTAGTTACGTGATAGGCAGGGTTAGGTGTTTAGTTAGCATGTTTTTCTTTGGGAAGCCTCTTCTACAAGGACAGATCTTAGAAGGATAAATATGAAATGAACTTTAAGTTCAGTATGTTGCAGTTACCTACTAAATCAAAGAACTTATTTTACAGTGGATATGATGCAGTCCCAGACTGTAGTAGAAATTCCCAGTAAGTGTGTAGTTTTACCATTCCCTGGCATCTAGAATTTAAAACAGTCAACCGAGACTCCAGTTCCAACTAATTGTTATGTTTTCAGAGGGCAGACTTCTATATACGGTCACTGAGCGTAGGAGAGAGTCAATACTCAGTTGTGGGTTTTTTTTGTTTTTTTTTTTTTGTTTGTTTGTTTTTTGGTGAGATGTAAAGTATTCTGTAACCCAAAATCAGTTTATTGAGAAAAAGGATGTAGCATATCCCAAAGCATCCCATTTAGACATATTTTCTGTCCTTGGCTCTATGTGTCAGTTTAAGTCAATAGCTAACCCCAAACTCTTCTGGTCCCTGGATATCTGATATAGTGACAGAGCTATTACTCATGAATATATATCCAGGTTCAGATGTACCTGAAATATGGAATCTATTCCAAAGCTATTACAGAGGTGGGTTTCTTAAACACCTAACATTTATTGAGGGCCTACTATGTTCCTACTAAGTGCTTGTTACTAGGGATACAAAGCTAGATAAGATGTATAATTCGGCCTCTGACGTGTCAAGGAACTCAGACACTGACATCACAGCCAGGCATATAAATGGTAATCTATTATTTATATTATATTATATTTATTAGGTAATTGCCATGTAGTATGGACAAGGCTGTAATACAGACCTATGGGAAGTACAGTGGGGGCAACGTGAAGAAGAACCTCCTTGTTTTTTTGGCTGTTGTTCAGACAGTTGCCTGTCTGGATTCTGCTGGGCACTGCCCTTAGGAACAGCGTTATTGTACTCTTGTTGGAAATGCTGAGGTGAGGGTAAGGAAAGGACTGCTGATCAGTATGGGAGAAATGATAATTTATTAATGTGAGGTTCCTGAGCCTGGTTTTCATAAGCGCCTTAGCCAGGTGATGGAAAGTGGAAGGAACAGTTTTCCATCTAATAGATACTGAATGTACTGAGCTTACACGGATGTTCAGGAAATTAGAAAAGAATTAATTGATGCCGAAGAGCAAAGCGACTTGAGTACCTGCCTACATTTTCTCTTGTTGTCCTTGTCATTTATTTGAAATTACATTATTGAAAGACTTTTAAAAGCATTTAAAAAGTGATGATGCCAAATACCCTTTTCCTGCCTTTTACCCTCAGTACACTCAGTACATTTGTCAGGCTGGAGTGTAATTCATTCTCCATCTTTATACTTTTACTGCAGCTATAATTTTTTTTAAAGGTTGTCAATCAGAGATGCTTGGAATATATATATATATATATATATATATATGTATATATATAATATATATTATTTTAACAAATAATAGTCGATATTCTTTTCTAAGATGAATTCCTTATACCTCTGAAAAATATTTTATGTGGGATAAAGCATAGGTTTTGGAAGCCTCTTGTTTATGTTTGTTGGGTTTGAGATGTCACTATCCTTGGGCCCTTGGAATAGGGAATATCATTTATTTGAATCATTCTTCATGTATTTCCTTTTCTTCAGTGAAGTTCTTCTACGTTAGCAGAATCATGGGCACTTTTAGACTTGGGTAGATAATAACACATACAGTGTCTGAACAGTTTTGCTTAATACTGAGATTTTGAGCTTGTGCTCGGCTAAGTGGAGTGATCCTGAAGTTTGCTCCTTTCCCCTTTTAGGGAAAATTTTTTATAAAATAAAAGATTAAAGGAATCCTACCAAGGTACCTTGGTTTATCCTTGTGACTTAGGACACGCATTTAACAGAAGCCTTAATCAGTGAGTCATCTTTTCAACTCTCATAAAATCTTTACCATTCAGATTTTAAATCAACTCTTCTTTTCTTCAAAGCTGCTTTATACGCTATCTATTGATTTCACCATTCATTTATCAAATTCCATCTATGGAAAGATAGAGATTTGTAAACACCCATTCCATTCTATGTAGTAGAGTGTGTACTGCATACTCTAGAATGCGATAAGGCTGTAATGGGGTATAAATAAAGTGCTGTGACGTAGGATATGGTTGGGGAGGATGTGCTTGTGGGGGCTGAGGGGTTGATCAGGAATGCAGCTGGTAGAGGTGTTATCCAGCTACTCTTTCAAGGATGTTTTGGATTCCAGTGAGGTGTAGGATACAACAGGCTGAAGGAATGTGGGTAGAGGGAGATTGTTGAGAAGGTAAGTTAGAGACAGGTGAAGAGGATTTCTGCTCTTTCAAGGAGTTTGGACTTTATTCGGTAGAAGAGAAGTGTTATTATCTTTGAGCAGAGTGTGAAAAACAGTCAAGGCTATGCTGTGGTCGATTATTCTCTTGACTCTACAAATCATGGATTAAGAGAAAAGAAACTTTAAAGTAGGAGTAGT